AGTATCGCCCTTTGTAGTGATAATAATCAGATGAGAGAGAAAGGGTAACTAGTGCAATAACTTCTGATTTGATCCTCTTGAAAAACTGACATAAAATGCTCAACAGGACCAACTATTAACGATCAGGACTGAGACATTGAGTTGAAGTGAAGATAGCGGGCAGAAATGAGGCAGTTTACAATGAGTGAAAAAGTGAAAAGTAAAAGAAGACAGCATATTTTATTACAACTATCAGGTAAGACAAGTGATTACAAAAGGGTTTTTTCAACACTGCTCAGTGCTTGGCTCACTGGCTGAATGAGGAGCAGCAGTTTCTCTGCAGAAATGCACTCTTCCTTTAATTCCAAGATGAGTCGATTCAACGGGACACCGGAGTGGAGGGTGAAGAGAGAGGACTGGAGGCAGTTTAGAGCTTTTGATGAGTTGAGAGGTAACGAGTCTCCATTGATGTAACGGCCGATCTTAACTCCACAACTACTACAGCTGAACCACTTGATGTAGATGGTCTGCAGGTTGGGCATCCTCACCGGCAGATTCAACCACTGCACCTCAGAGTGAGCGGAGATGGTCAGGTGCAGTTCAAGAGCCCTCACAGTGTTCAGCTGCGCCAGTGAACGTGCTGGTGGTGGTAACTCCTCGCCACTCCTCAAACTTACCTTCAACCTCAAGTGGATCAGCTGATGAAGTTGAGAAAGGGAAGTGAACAGGAGTACAATTTCAGTAACGGTAATGTTCCAGATAGAGAGGGAAGTGAGCGAGCGGAACTGGCTGCAGAGGAGGGGCACTCGGTCACCGGTGTAGTCAAGATAACCCGGCCCATAGCGAACAATGCGACTGTGCAGTGGCTGACTGAGGCTGAGCAGACTATAGGTATCGTCGGAGAACAGGTGAACCTGCAGGTCGGCATTGTCGGTGGCGTACTGCTCGAGGGAGCGCACAAAGGCCTGCAGGTCATCTGATTCGAAGACCACTACCTTCAGCTGGGCGAGTATGGTCAGGTCGGGAAGGTCGATGCGGGTATACCACTCGAGGGCCAGGCACTGCAGAGCAGTGAGACCGTTGATGGCGGCGATCAGCTCATGACTCTGTTGACCGTCAATCCGCTTTGTTGTATGCGCCATGAAGTGGGTCAGTTGGCACTGCCACTTGGGATGATGCAGAAGGAGTAGAAGGGGGACCAGGTAGTGACTGTTGCGTGTGATGTACTTTAGGTCGGTGACAGCAGAAAAATTGTTGACAATCTGCTCGATGGTCGCAGTGTCAATCGGTTTTTTCAAGTCAACCACCAGGCAGTGCCATTTGCTGAGACAAGTGGTCATTGGATAGTCGGGGAATGATGTCTCGCCGGGAATGTCTATCAGCTGCTGCATGGCTGGATTGGAGGCAAGGGAAAAACGGTTGATTTTATCTTTGACATACTTCAGACCGTATGGGTCTTCAACATTTGTATCGGTGATGACCAGTGACTTCACAGTGCGATTGGCCGCTCTCACCAGCCCGGCACAGCGTAGACTCATTTGACTCGCCACCATCTGCTCATTCGGTGGCATCATCTTGAATAGCGTGATGAGACACAGATCGGGAAGAGGGCGTAGGGGTGGCATCGTTTTCGGGTGATGATCAGACTGGGAGAGAGATTTGGGAAAGACCGAAGGAAGTAAAGGTGCTGTTGATGCAATGTAAGCAAAGCAGAAAGACTGAGCACATGTACCGCCACTGTCACTGTGCACAGGTGTTCAGAAGAATGTGAATGCAGCAGCAGCGGTGCCCTCTGTAGTGATAACTAGATGTGAACAGTAATAAAGGGTAAAGGATGTGCAGTCCCTTCTGATGACCAGATTTGATCCTCCTGGACTCCAGGACCTAGAGCATTGACAGCACTGACTGACCAGCAGTTCAGAAGGACCTGCTAATAACGATCAGGGCCTGAGACATTCTTCTGATTTGATCCACCTGAAGCACTGCTTAATCAGTAGCAACAATCCCTTCTTCACTTTTACCAAAGTGCTTCACCATCAACAGCAAACAACAACCAGACAGCAGCAGCAGCAGCAGCAGTGAGATAACTCATAATAAACACTTTATTAATTAGACTGTGTAAAAGGCCTGTGAACTTCGCCTGAACTGCTTTTCGGCTGGTGGTGGTGGACGTGGCGATGAAAATGCTGCTGCTGATCACCAGGCAAACTGCCTCCTACTGCCTCCTACCTCCACAGCTCTAGTCGCTGGTGTCGTAGATGCTGTTCAGGTACTGGCAGGCAATGTCGGAGACGATGGAGCGGTCGGGAATGGACTGCGCCATGCCGTAGACGACGCCCATGCCCTCGGCGCTCTTGTCCGGCAGCTTCATGCACTCGCCGACGGCGGTGGCGAGGTCGGCGAGGAAGGCGTCCGCCACGCCCTCCTGGACGTGCATCAGCGTGACGCAGATGTGAAAGGCGGAGGGAAATTGCAGCGGGTTGATGTTCCAGCCCTTCTTGCTCAGCATGTCGCTAAAGTTAAAGGGAGAAAAGGGAGAAAAATTAGTTCAAAATCTCCCGAAAAGCTTTGCCCCCCACTTACCTCAACCGAAAGATGTTGAAATCATGCGAGCCGATGGCAATCACCGACAGCTGTGGATCGCCTATAATGTAGATGCCCTTCATCTTCAGCAGCTCCCGCTTCATGTACCGCTGCGTCTCCAGGATCCGCCTCGTCGCGTCGACGTACCCGTTCACTCCGTAGTAGAGAAGGGCCGCCCAGCAGGTGGCGATGTTCGCCCCGGCCCGACTGCCGGAAATGGTGGGCGAGGCGTAGATGCCGCCCGGCCAGTCCGTTTGCACGGAAAACTGGTGCTTCCGGTACTTCTGGTGGGCGTACATGATCACCGAGCTGCCCTTGGGGGCGTAGCCGTACTTGTGCGTGTCCGCACTGATGCTGGTGACGCCCTGGACGGAGAAGTCCACCGGGTCGATGGGAAAGCCGGCGGCGGCGACGAAGGGCACCAGGAAGCCGCCCAGGCAGGAGTCCACGTGGACGGGGACGTTGTAGGCGAGGCCGAGCTGAAGAAGGGGAGAAAAATGAAAAGAAGTTTAGAAAAAATGGCTAGATTTTAAGCCCTTTCAGCAGCACACTCACCTTGGCAATCTCCTCAATATCATCGATGATGCCGTGCGGATAGCCACAGGCACTTCCCACAAGCAGCACCGTATTCCGGCCGATCGCCCTTCGCATCGCCTTCAGATCGACCTTGAAGGTGACCGGGTCCACCGGCACCGTCCGGAACTTGATCTTAAAGTACTGGCAGGCCTTCTGGAAGGCGGCGTGAGCCGTCACCGGGACCACAACCTCAGGGCGGGTGATGCCGCGCTCCTCTGCGGCGTAGTCCCGATAGGCCTTCACCGCCAGCACAATCGACTCCGTCCCGCCGGAGGTGAGCGTCCCGCAGCACTCCTCACCGCCGTTGAAGAGATTGACCACCATGCGGACAATCTCCGCCTCCATCTTGATGATGCCGGGGAAGCACTCCGGGTGGAGGGGGTTGGTGTAGGCGGTCTCCGCGTAGACCTCGGCGATGAGGGCGGACACCTCGGTGGCCAGGTCGGAGTAGACGGTGCCGGAGGCGCGGCCGCCGCGCCAGTTCACCTTGGAGAGAGACTGGTACTTCTTGAAGAGGGTGAGGATGTCGGCCTTTTGGAGGCCTTCTTTTGGGAGGTTGACGAGGAACTTTTCGCCCTTGTAGATGGCGCGGCACTGCTCGACGATGGCCTTGTCCACGCCGCCCATCTCCTTGGCGGCCAGCCCGCGGATGTATGGGAGGCGGATGAAGAGGCGGAAGAGGCGGCCCTTGAAGGACTTCCAGCTGACTAAAAAAGATTTTGTTACATTTTTAATCATTGATTTTAGATGATTTTAGCTTACAATCGCCATCCTCATAAACTTCGACGAGTCTCAGGAGGAGCCAGGTGCCGACGGCGGTGCCCAGCAGCACCTGCAGGCGGCTGTAGCCCTTCAGGTGGGCCTCCACCTCGGTGGCCATGAAGCGGCTGAAGCTTTGCAGGCTCTCCATTGGGTGGTGGAAAGAAGAGGAGAAAAAGGTAAAGTTAGAAAAACACAATTTTTAGCTGCTTTTGATGATGATGATGATGATGATGGTTATGGGTCTGATGATCAAAGCGTACCATTTGACTGGAAATGTTATATTGCCAACTGTTATTATGTCACCAGAGCACCGTCGCAAGCAGTAACTGCTCGAGGAAATGCACTGTGTGTGTGTTGGATGGCTTGGGAAGCGATAGGTGAGAACTGTGAGAGGAGAAGAAAGAAGGAAAGTGAGAGAGGATAAAAGATTAAGACTCGCTTTAAGATTTAGAGAAGGTGAGGGTGATAATTTGGAGAAGAATGCAGCCCATGTACAATAGTCTGGCTACCGTACCTCAAGTGCACTACCAATGAGGCTTTTTAGAAGTCAGTCAAGGAGTACAGGGAGAAACTAACTTTGTATTGTACAGCAAAATCAGCAATCAGTAACAACAACTTAGTGAAGTGAAGAGTAAAGTCCAGCACAACAACACACAGCAGACAGACGCTGTGTTGGTGGTGGTTGTCCTGCCAGCAGCAGAGACACTGCCACTATTGACAATCAATTGACAATTGTTATCTGTCTGCTTTTTTCTCTCATTTTTTCTACTTCAGCTCATCGCCGCCGCCGCCGGTGGTTACGCCTCGATTGTGTGTACAAACGCTGGCTGATATCAACAGCGTCGCCGTCGTACAGGTGGTGGTGGTGCACAGCAGACTTGTACAGTGCTCATCAAATCTGATCATCATCATCATCATCATCAACAACCTCGTACTCGTCATCACCCCAATCAGCTAGCGTCTATCCTCTCAAAAGTGTCCAGATCGTGATATCACAGATCTGACGGTCCCACGCTCACCATCAGTTTATGAGGCTGTCCCACTTTTCCCTACCAGAGAGGCAAATAGTGAACATCTGTCAGCCAAAGGCTGCCAGTACTAAGGCTGCACTGGGCTGAAAAGTACCCGACACTTTCTAAAAGATAGAAGGGGCAAAGGACAGCGGTCAAAGACGAGGGCTTACCTGTACTTTGCTGAGGAGCTCTTGGAACGGCGGTAGTGGTCCTCAACTTTCCGCTTCTTCTTCAGAAGGCTCCTCTCGGGGCGGAGCGTCGTGGTGGTGGTGGGCCCAGCGTGGGAACCAGTTCCATTGTTCTTCTTCCTAACGTTACCTGTCCAGTGGTCAGTCTGTCAGTCAGTCAGTCTGCCTGTGTTCTATTTGGAACACCTTGGCCACCTGCTTTGCCTCCTTCTGCTTGTGTTTACGCTCTCTTGATTGGTGGCAGAAGGACACGCTCTTGTCTTACCTGCTCACCAGGTGGCAGCATCGCCGCAGCTTCTTTCTCCCTTCACTGTGTTGCTGCTGCTTCTGTTGCTGCAACCACGACAACAGCTGCTGCTGCTGCTGTCCAGTTTGGCTGCTGCAGATTGCGTCGAGAAGGAAAAGATATTGCGCCATCAACTGCTGCTGCTGTTTGTTGCTTGTCCACTCCTCCTCCTCGAGATTGCCAGCCAGCGAAGGAGAAGAAGACGACCTCGATGTGACCGAACAAGCCTGGCGAGCAAGCAAGACAGGCAAGACGGCAGTGAGAGAGCTTCGAGCTGCTGACCAACAACAACAACTTTGCCTTCTTCTTCTTCTTCTTCGCCGACGCCTTTGCCACCACCACTTTTTGTCACCTTCGCTTTCTCGAACTCAAACACGAAGTTTTGCTGTTTCTCTTTAACCCGAGCATCAAGTGCCTCTCTTTGGTATCTGCCGCCGCCACCAGAGCAGCCACCGCCTTTGATCTGTTTGAGTACCAGCATAATACCACTGAATCATCATCGTCATCGTCACTATCTTCTTCTGTCCTTCCTCACCGCCGCCGCCATCGCAATCACTGTCAGTTCATCGTCTGATTGGTGAACAGAGGCAGCTGCTGTCGCATCAGTTATCAGCGGATGGGTTAGGTTCTACTTCGGTATTTACCCATTCATTCACCCAGCCAACTTTCCTTCTATTTCCATTCCCATTCATTCATCTAAACTCTCTGACTGACCGACCGACTGACTACTACTACCGCTACCGTTTCTACTACTACAACTACAACTACGGCAACCACTTACGTTTGAGCAGCAATCTCATTCTGATCTCTCGCTGTGTTTACTTTGCCCTGGTACCGCTACAGCAACAACAGCCTCATTTTATACTGCGTGTACTCGATCTGATCTACTACCGCCGATCTGATCCACACTACAGCTGCACGTACACACCACCAGACACAGACAGACACAGACCAAACAGTTCTCACACAACTACCACTGCCAAAAAAGGACTTCCACTCTTCTGGATCGGCGATAACGGACACGGCGGCGGCGACTGCTGCGACCGACCTTATCTGGTAAGTACACTCTTTTCTTCTACACTAACAAAAACAGCGGTAGTTGTACGGCTGCCGCTGCTGCTGTTTTCATTTTCTGGTAGTGTTTTTCTTTTCCTTTTGCCGCGCGCGGCTCCTCAGTATTTGGCCGTTGTTGACTGTTTTCGAAGTGAGTGTGTCTATCGAGTGAAAAAGAAAGAAGAAGAAGGAAGAATGAGATGAAATGGGTAGTGTAGACAGATAGACTACCAGCAGCGGCGGCAAATATTTAACACTGTGTGCTTGTGTGTTTGCCAAAGTGGGTGACTTGGTGTGTTAGTTAGTTAGTTGTTCCATTTCCCTCCTCTATATATGGTCCACTACTACTGTTGACGTCCTAAATCGTATGACCGCCACCACCAGTCCCACGACTAAGCACACACTACAAAGGCAACAAAAACGCCGCTGCTCTGGTCAGTTGTGCTCTTTGTGCTGCTTTTATTTTATCTCCCTTTTCGAACAGCAACAGCAGCAGCGAACTGTTCTGTAGTGTAGTGCAGTGTACGCCGCTGGACATTGTAATTTGGTGGCAATAGAGTGTAGAGTAGGGTAGGGAAAGTAGAGGATGGAGGATTTTTAGGTTTTTAGGCTTTGCAGGCTCACATTCGGGCCATTCCCAAACGCTAGATCGAGAGAGAGAAAGGACACGCCGAGCGCAACCGATGCGCAATGCGCAACAGCTAAAGTGGTGAGGCGACAATAACAATACCAATAAATCAATAGCTAGGCTAGCTCGAACGCCAATATTAAATTAGAGAGGAGGCTGTAAATAATGCCACCAACACCACCACCAGCAGCAGCAATGGCGGCGGTGGTTCCAATGTCAATTTAGCCTTCGACTTCGATGATAGCTGGTAGAGCTGCTGCTGCTGCTGGTGGTGCTTCCATCGAAAGGCTGCAGCAGTGTGTTCCTGCTAAGCCATCGCCAATGCATTAGTACGCTCGAGAATGCGAACAAAGTGGTCGTCGCCGTCGTAATGCAGAGCGAATGAGAGGCAGAGTTGGAAAGAGGGAAAATGGAGAGCAAGAGTCGGCCTTTTGCCATCACTGCTGCTGCTGTAGCTTTTCAGCTTTAACCAACAACACACTCACACTCACACACAATATCTTTGTCATTGCAGCTTCCTGTGCCTGACTACTGCTTCTCTGCTGCTGCTACTGCTTTCGCTGCCAGTGCTTGTTCAGCACACGCCACCACCACCACGACCAGCACCACCACTTATCTGCCATTCCCTTTCGCCTGACTGTCTCTCTCTTCGTGTGTTCACCATTACCATCAACTTCGACTTCATCATCCCCATCATCATCATCAGACGCCCGTGTCCTTTGGCACTGTCCAGCTCTGGCCAGTCTGCTTCGGCAGCAGTCATCACTACTTCATCAGACACTCTTGATCATCATCATCCTGGTGCCATTGGTTTGTCAACGGATCGCCTTTGAATTACCATTTTCGCCTTGGCACTAGCATCAGCTTGTCTCTCTGCCGAATGAACGCCTCTTTTCACCACCTGCTTCTTCTGCTGCTTCTGCCTTCACCGCCGCTGCCTTTTCATTCGCACACCTCCTCCTCCTCCCTCTCCACAACCAAAACACACCTCCTCCTTCAGTAATGATGTCTTCTTTAGCCCGACGTGTAGCCACCTCCTCGCTCTGCGGCATGTCCTATGGTGGGAGTGGCAGTGGCGGCCAATCGAGCGCCTACCCCTATCCAACGCGCATGGAAAAGTAAGTCTACCACTTCTTTCTTGCTACTACTTTTTCCCCTCTCTTCAACCTGTCCCTTTCCAATCATAATATTGATTCAACCACCTGCTTCAATGTTTTCGTTGCTGCTGTTGCTAACGCTGCTGCTGCTGCCGCACTTTGTTTTGCTTATGCCCAATGTGCCCAAGCTTTCGCCGCCGATTGTGTCAATGGAGGTGCGTGCAAATGCGAGTATTCTTCGGCGACGATTATCACTCTCTGTGGTAAGCAGCAGCGATAGGAGGCAACAGCGACCACTAACTGTAGCACTTTTAGGTAGCCTAAAAAGTGCTCTACTGTCTCACTAACTGTGACTGTGAATGTGTGTTTGTACAAAAGATAACAAACTAACTGCACACGTTGGTTAGCAGCAGCAGCAGTCATGTGTTGTTCTTTCTTTTCTTCTTTTGCGTCCTCTCTTCAGTTTGCTGCTGCTCTCCTTCTTTTTCTTTTTCTTTTTCTTTTTCTTTTTCTTTTTCTTTTTCTTTTTCTCTGTCTCTGTCTCTTGTTCGCTAGGCAGTTTGCAGACACACACAATTGACAATTGTCACCGGTGACTGGTGATGGTGCCTGACGGTGTGCTGCTGTTGTGTGTTGATTGAGCGCACTGCCACCTTTCTTGATGATGATGATGGTGGTGGTGGTGGTGATGGTGATGACTATGGTGATGACTGTGTGGTGATGGCACACCGTTGGTGACACTGTGTGTGGACTGTTGCTGACGATGGTAATAGGCAGTGTAAAGTAGTGTTGCACTCTACTTTAGTTGCCTATTGTGTTTTGCTGGCAGCTCCAGTAGCTTCTAGTCGCCCTGTTTTCTTCTTGCTGATTTTCTTCTTCCCCTCTTCTCCTCATTTGAAGCCATCGACAGCTGGCCAAGCTTTCCTTCTCTCTTTCTCTGTCCGCTGATCGAGTGAGCCAACTCTCTCCTTTCCCCTTCCTTTCGTTCCACTCACCCGAAGGCTGCTATTTTTAAATAGCTCCGACCGACCAACCAGCAGCAGCTCTCTTAATTAGTGATCGCATTAGCCACCGCCACCACCACCGAGCTGCTTCTTTCTCCCACTCTCTCTCTCTCCATCGCTCCCGATGAGCTCCGTTGAGCAGGAGGAGGAAGACATCGATTCGGATGTGTGTCTGCTCGGATGTGTGTTCCTTTCTCTTTTTCCTCCTCCTTACTCTTTTGCTGGTGGTGGTGTGATCAACTAGACGGCACGCTGTTGAAGTGGCTCTAGCTGCTGCTGCTGAAACTGAGCAGACTCTGAAGAGAGAGAGCATCAATCGGCGACGGCGGCATCTTCTTCTTCTTCTTCCTCCTTCTACCACTGTTGCCGTTGTGAATTCGCCTAAATAGCGGCTAAATAGCAGCGGCGACGATGCAAAGCTGCACAGCTGCTGCTTCTACCAATGCAGTGTAGTGTTGTAGACCCGACTCTGCAGATCCCACCAGAAATAGTGTCCGTATGTGCCTGTGTTTTATATTCATTCTCTCTCTCTCTTATTCTCGCTCTCGCTTTTGGAGCAGTGGTATCAGCTACTACTGCTACTGCTGCTACAGTTGCTGCCTCTCTCTCCCCTCTGTGTTTGTGACTCATGCCGCCAACGCCGCCGCCGCCACCACCGCCGCATCGGACGCTTCCATTCAGTGAGGAGGAGAGCAGTGTGAATCGAGCCCTCATCCGACGATGATCTAATGAGATGGAGCTGATCGTGATGATGATGAGAGTGATCATGATTAACATAACATTACCACCAACACCACCACCGTCACCACCATCACCATCACTGCCATTTGAGCATTAGGCAGTGTCTGATTCCCCGAGATTCTTCTTCTCCAGAATCGAGACAGAATCGTCCTGTGTGTTCTTCCTTCTCCTTCTGTTTCTTTCTACTTCTTCTTCTTTCTTTGAAACAATCTCTTCCTCTCTGTTGCTATTGCAATTGTTTTGGTTGCACTTTGGGAATCGCCACCACCGCCAGCACAGTTTTTGGTGCAACTATCACTACTTACACGCTACAACACTACGGCTACCGGATTCGGCGAAGTTGATGATACTGTTGCCACCACCACCACCACTCCACCAACAACAACATCATCAGTTAGACAGTTAGAGTGGACGATTGGAAAAGAGAGAAGTGGCTGATTTATTTATTACCACCAGTGTGTTAACACTGCTGCTGCCGCCAACACAAGCACACTACTACTTGGCGCATTTTCTCAACACATTTTCCTCCACTTCTCTCACATTTGGAAAACCCGGCGATCATCGATGACACCATTTTTTTCTTACTTACCACCCCTTTCCACTTGAAAAGCTGATTCATATTTTCTTCTTCTGTGGTCGGTGGTGGTGGTTGTTTACAAGTCTCATTTCTTTCTTTGCACTGTGCACTTGATTATACATTACCGGTGCACGGGCCGAGAAGATGCTGTCGAAGATTATCAACGCCGGCAGCAGCTACTCAATTGACAGGTAAAGCTGCTGCTGCCAAAGCCGGGGAAGGATTATTGAGGATTTGCAGGAGCAGCAGCAACAACTTTTTTTCCGATTATTAGTCTTTCTTCCGATCTTCTTTGTCTAAAGAGGGGGGGGGATTATGATAATCAGCTGCAGCGATGATTGATTTATGAGATTCAAGTGGACTTTGTGTGGTCTTGCCTGGTGTTGTTTATGAGCCTGTTTACCACAATACTTTCCCAGAAACAAAAACAACTAAACTCATTCTTCCTTTTCCCCTTTTTTCTTTCTTTCTCTCTCACAGAGTCAAATTTGGCATTCCGCTGGAGAGCGTCTGCGAGAGCGCCCACAATGACATTCCCGGGCCGTTGCTGGTGATGATCCTGAAGCTGAACAAGGAGGCCCCTTACAAGAAGGACGTCTTCAGGGCGCCCGGCCACCAGGCGAGCATGAAGAAGCTGATACACTTTCTCCAGGTAATAATATACTGCCTACATTTTAAGTATTTTTACATTGCTAATTTTCCCCCTTTTTCTCCTTTTCCCTAAAATCACCCATCCAGAACGGCCGACTGGTGAACATTGACAACTACTCGGTGTACACGATCGCCTCGGTGCTGAAGAAGTTTCTGCGCAAGCTGCCATCGGGCGTCTTTGGCGTCGACCGGGAGCAGCGCCTCTTTGAGGTGATTGGCTGGGCCGACGTGGAGGAGAAGCGGCTGGAGATTCACAGGTGAGTGAATTGAGGAAGCCTCTTTTTAATTTGCCTCATAGCTTTTGAATTTAGAACTTTCAGAAAAGCTTGCTAGCTAGCTCCTTTCCATTTCATTTGCCTTCCCTTCCATTCGACCACATACTGCGAAATGGAAGCGCGCACTATGTGTGTGTGTGTGTATTTGCGTCTTTCTTTGCACTGCTGTGCTACATTAGCAGCCGCAGCAGCAGCTGTAAATTATTTGCAGAACACAATTGACAGTGTAGTATTATTATTACCACCACCACCACCAGTTACACCACAGCAGTTACTACTAACTCAGCAGTCTTTAGTCTGTGGTGATTGCTGTTGTGGTTGCCTTTGCAGTTGCAGCCACCGCAGCCGCAGCAGCAGCCAAGCAAAGTTGAATGTACTTTGATTTGTAGACTGGCTAACTCATTTTCCACACTTTACACTTGCTTTGAAGGAGTCAGTTCCTCCTCCGCATTGGTGGTGTCTTTTCCTGGTGTGCTGGTGGTGGCGTGTCAGTCTCAGTCAGTCACTGCCTGGTAACACTGGTTCTGGAGTTGTGTAGTGTGCACTACATTCAGGAAAAGGATTCACCGGGGGAGGACGGGAATGGGATAGGATAGGAATCGTCAAGCCCTGCCAGTGTCAGCAGCAGCAGCAAATGTAGTCGTTGAGTGAAGCGACAGCGAAGAAGACTTGGGGATAGAGGGACTTTCCTCAGCCTGCCAGCCAGCCAGCCACTTGATGCTGCACCAGCACAGCACACAGCTACACTTTGACGTGCACTTCTTTTGTCTATCCTTCCTGCAAGTACAATTTAGCTGAAGAAAAGGGGAGCTGCTATTTTTAAATCTTTATTCTTTGCGCCTGGTAGCTCATTTGTTGAACATGCTGCCGCTGCCGACATGTGCATCTGGCGCCAGGCAGTCTGGAGTGAGGAACATGCATTCCCCCTTACTCTTTCTTCTGTCTGCCAATGTCTTCTCGGTTGTGTGTGGTGTGGTGTGGATGTTTATCTAAACACACACGCACACCACACACAACACTCCATTGTAATTAATTGTTCTTGTTCTTCTTGTTCTTGTTTCGGTTAGCTGGTGCTGCTGGTGGTGATTGTCTTTTGTTTATGTCTGACGTTTCTGGTGCTCACCAGAATTAGCCTGCTTGTGTGGTGGTGGTAGTTCTTTGATGATGTCATCAGCTTTATCGTCATCATCATCAGCATTGACTAACTTTTCTAATGATCTGCTTTTCTAAACTCCTCTTCCAGGATCCTCCTCTCGCTGCCGGTGGTCACGCAGCACCTGCTGGTTCTCCTCTTTGGCACCTTCCGGGCGATTGCCAACTCCTCCGAGTCCTCCGCCACCGGCATGACCTCGGAGGCGATCAGCATCAGCGTGGCGCCCAGCTTCTTCCAGTCCTGCGTCTCCGATGGGAAGCAGTTCGCCAAGATTGAGGACGTCCAGCGATTCAAGGTACGTATTTTTGATCTTTTTTTCAACTAAACAGTCTTCGTCTTTGATGTGCCCAATCTGTTTTTGTGTTTGTGCTTTTTGTGGGACAATCTCCTCTTAACCTCAGCCTGACAACTAACCAGCAACAGCAGGCGTTCGCAAAACTCTAACCCAAACCTCAACTAATAACCGCTCTCTCATAACCTTTCTCTTCTTTTCCATTTCCCACCCCTTTCTCCCCTGCGCGCTCTTACTACCTTTTTCTTTTAAATCTTTTAAACTCTCTGCACACCTCAATCTCTGCTGACTCCTTTCTCCGCATAACATACCCACCACCACCACCACCACCACCGCATTACCAACTCTTGCATAACCTAATCTTATTCCATTGACTTCTTCTGCCACACCACTACCACCTGCCTCCACTGCCTGCATTTGTTTTTGTGTGCGTGTCCGCATCTCTCTTTCTCGTTGTTTTGTGTGCATCCTCTCTCTCTCGTTGATCTGTGTGTGTCTCTCTCTTTCTAACTTATGTGCCTAATCTCTAACCCAAAAGAACTTAATTAGGGTAAGTGTGCTCTGGTGCTGCTATTGTTTGTTTGTTTGTGACTTGTGACTTGTTGTGTTCTGTAATCTGTGCTTGTTTGTTTGCCTGCTTGCTGCCTAATCTGCTTTGTTCTTTCCTTTTCTTTCCTTTTCTTATTTAGCACTTTATTGTTTTCTTTCACTATTTATAACTCTTATTTATTATTTATAACTGCCAGCTCTCAGTGACTGACCTTTTGTTGCACTTTATTGTCTTCCCTTGTAGATTGCCTCCTCCATAATGAAGTTTATGATCGACAACTTCGGCATCTACAACCTCTTTGGCCGCGACAACTACGAGTACTACGCGCGCATCAGCGGACGCGTGCTGAAGGTGGAGGAGAACTGGATCTTCGCCTTCAAGTACCCGCCGGAAAATGTGATTCCCAGTACGTATCCTTGCTTTACCCGACTTCTTGATCTCCTCCTAGTACCTCCTCCTCCTCCTCCTCCTCCTCCTCCTCACCCTCGTCCTCCCACTTCCCAAACACCTTCCCACATACCTATCACCACTTCCACCACCACCACACCCACTTTCACACCCAAAATACCCACTGCTACCACTCCTTCACTAACACGACGATAAGATGATGATGATAAGATGATGGTGATGTCTCTTTTTCTATGTTGATTGTTACTACTACTCCCACTACTACTATTTCTACTACTTTGGTACTGGATACCAATGCTGATGATGCCTCTTTTTTACCACTATTTTTCTATTCAACCACTTTTATTTTATTATCAATCACTACCACCACCACTTTAAGACGCAATCACTTCCCAAACAGACAGACAGACAAACAGACCCAGACATCAGATACAGTCCCCGAAACCCCAGACAAACACGAACAAGTACAAACCTGTTGTGATGTGATAATAAATTGGAAAGGCCCTTTCTCTCCTTCTTTTACTTCTTTTTTCTTTCATTCATACTAACCGCATGTTTGTTCTTTCTCTCTTTCTCTTTCCTTCTTCTTCTCTATCTGTCTTCAATCTGTTCAATCTGTCTCAACTGGGGTCTTTTCTCATCATCAGGGAAGCTGTCTCTGATGGCGGAGCGCGAGTGGTTGATCTGCGAAGCGCACAAGTGGGGCTTGCCGCAGATTGCCCTCTCTCGCCAGTTGAAAGGTGACCAGCATTTGGCCATCAGCTGAATGTGTCAGTAGTGTGGAATGGTAGTGTGTAGAGGACTGTAGTGTGGTTTAATTTTTCTTCTTTAACTCCTTCTTTTTATTTTGCCTGCTCTTTCTTCTGTAGTGATAATCATTTTTCTTTCTTCTTTTTGCATGTCCTTTAGAAGATGTTTTTGTAGATGGTGTGTTTGTTTTTTATTTGTTTGTTGCTGTCATCTGTTGATGCTGTGGTAGCCTTTTTTGTACAGTGCTGTTTTTCCTTTAAAAACTATTTACTAATTTTTGCTTTTTCTGTTTCCTTTTCCAGAAATCGGCTCTGTGGAAGAGTGCCAGAGCACGCCCACCTTGGTTTCTCGCGAGGACAGCGACGTGACACTGACTCGATCTCACCACCAACCCATCCAGTCCTCGCACATTGAAGACTCCTACGCTCGGCTGAGCATGTCACTGGAGGAGAGCTTCTTTAGGGTAAGCGGAGTTTTGAGGAGTTCTTTTTTGCTTCACAATGATTAACCTTTGTTTTTACCCCTTTTCTTCAGTTTTCACCCGTCAAAACCAACTCCAACTCGCCGCAGTCAATTGTGACGGTGCTGCAGCAGCAGCACCCGGGTCCATCATCATTTTCAGATGCATCACAGTCTCAGCAGCAGCTGAAACAGCAGTCCTACTCGAACATGCTGCACGCGGAGATGCTCAAACTGGAAGATCTCAAGACGGTGAACCGATATGCGGAGAGCACCAAGTCGCTCACCTTTCTCCCGATTGTCCACGAGCGGCAGACGGCGCGGATGAAGACCCGTTCGGAGTGGTTCCTCAATCCGAGTATGTTGTGGAGTTTATTGGGAAAATTTTCAACTAACTAACCTTTTTTTTCCTCCTCTTTTCTGCAGAAGAAAGTCCAAACAGTTCCAGCGGTGACTCTAGTGCCGGAAACTCCTCCGGCTCTAGCTCGGGCACCTCGCCGCTGTCTTCCTCGGCGGCCAACGTCCTGGCCGCCTCTTCCGCTTCCACCTCAGTACGATCTCAACCACTGGCGACCACCATCAGCACGCAACAGGTGGTTTCCAATAAGCCGCTGATTCGGAAGAGCTCTTCGGGGAAGGAGAAGCGCCTCATTCGGCGGACCTCCTCGAAGAAGGACAAGGAAAATGGAGGAGGGGGTGGTGGTGGTGAAAAGAAGGTTGGAGGAGGTGGTCCATCCTTTACCGAGGCCGACTGCACACGAGAGTCAGTTCGCCAGATGAACGTCACCTTTACGTACAAGCCGCGACACTAGCTTTCTATAAGCTTATTTTCGGAATTATTTGTTGAATGAGGTTGAATCTCCGATGTTACTATTCTTCTTATTATCGCCCATCCCGTCCAGCCACTGTTGCATTTTGTTTTTTGCTCACATTACTTCCCTCCACCACCCCCAGCCCTTTAATTCCCTACGCACACATTATCTTTTGGGGACACTCCCTCCCTCCCTTCCCTTTTCATCATCAATTATTTTTCTACGCCCCTCTTTACTTAAAACGCCCCCACCCCGTCATCATCGCCATTGTTTTTGTACTACCACCTTTACACACACTCTAAACACACTGCTAACACACACACACACCTACAAAGATTGCTGATTGGCTGCAAAGCCTTCTTCAGCAGCAACAGCAGCATTCGCCCCTCTACTTTTGTATTATATTTTATATAAATGAGCTGGAGAAACTATTACAGTGAAGAAATGATGCATTGCAGTAGTGCACATTCCAAACACCGATTTGAACTCTACCAGGTAAACTCTTTCAAAACACTTTTTAAACTTACTTTTAGCTTTTAACAAAAATGCTCTGCTGCTGCCGAGTCACTCTATGAATGATGAATTGAAAGCTCAACTGCTGCTGCTGCTGATACTCTATCGCTTATCGATTAGCCGCTTAGTGTCTGATAGAGGGAAGAGAGAGAGAGAAAGAAAAAGGAGAGCAAATTGTCTGCTGCTGAGCCGGTCTGCCGCCGCATTTTTGTTGTTCGACAGCAGCAGCAGCAGCAATGTCCAGTATGTTCGGTGTGCTCGGTGTGTAATGGAAATCGTGACTCGATTGTTGCCCGGTGGCAATTAGTGTCTCATCGCCGACGCTGACATCGTTCTCTCTCCTCTTTTAGACTACCACCACCACCACCATCGGCTACTAATATTCCAGTAGCTGCCAACAACAACAACGGCAGCAGCAAAAAAGAAGAGGAGCTTAGCCTGAGCAGCAGCAGCAGCATCACCGACTGATTTGTGCCCCTTTGTCCGGCTTCTGTGCAGAAGAAGAAGGAGAGAGAGAGAGAGAGAGAGACTAAGCCCGCAGGCGAAATCGGCATTCTTTTCCCTCTTCTTTTCTTCTTTTTCGCACAGTGGGGCCCTAGGACCCACTCGGTGGCTGAAGTGGCTGAAATGGTGATACCATGACCAGCATCATTTTTAGAGTGTGGTGGTGGTGGTGGTGGTTCACTTTTGATGGTGATGATCATGATGTCAGTGGTGATGGTGATGATGATGATCTGAAGGCACAAACTGACTGACGCGGATCAGAAGACGACTGGAAACAGGAGGAGGAGAGGAGGAGACAGAGAGATTTGTCAGGGTTGAACTGAACTGAAGAGAGAGGAGCACAATTATAGGCAAGTGTTTTTGCTGCTGCTACCGTCGAAGCCGTCTGCAGACTGTTCAGTAGCCGAAACTCACTCACTCTGCTTACCCTCAACTTTGCCTCCTGATGTTTTTCATTCAAAGAGTGTTCAGCCGCCGAGGTGAGCAGACGAACCAACGAACAACATCGACGGCAACGAGCTAACGAGCGGTGACCACAGTGTGCACTTGTTTCGTTTTGGTGCAGCGGCGGCAGCGGCGGCAGCAGTGGCACGTGCTGGACAAAACATCTTCAAAATGTGCACCTACTTTAACAGATATCGGTTTTCGGCGGCAGCAAAAGAAGAATTGGTGAAGACCAGAAACAGGAAAAGGTTACCGGCAATAGAGTCGTTGAAGACAGCTGCAAATCAAATGAGCAATCAAAAGAGAAATCGTAGTTGTTCATCATCAGACAAACTGGCGGCTGATTGTTTTCTCCAGTCTTCTTCATCTTCTCCTCTGTTTACACTTTCATCACCTCAACCTCAGTCAATCTGTGATCTTTCTTTACCTTCTTTTTCTTCTGTTTCCCCTCTACCTTCTTCTGCCTCGTCATCAAATCGAAAGCGAACTAGAACTTTACCTCCCCTTTTCACCTTCATCTTCACCCTCCTCAGCCTGTTAAGCGCCGTCTCCGGGTCAGGCTTCTTTGAGCTTCAGGTACTGGACGGCGTCCACAACTCCACCACCGTGCACGTCTGCCTGAAGGAGTTCTGGAACTCGCAGATCAACTTCAACCGCTGCACTTTTGGCCAGAAGACGGTCATCTTCAATAGCAACAACAACAATAACAACCAAAACAACCCAAACAACGACAACAACAACAATGACCTTCAACAGCAACAACAGCAGCATCACCACCATCGGCGGCAGTCAACGGTGAAGGTGCCCTTCAGCTTTCGCTGGATCGTAAGTGCCAAATGTTCACCTTTTTATCCCTTTTTTCTTACTTGGAGATTACCTGATGATTAGG